AATGCATCAGCTTCACAGATGTTCTTCTATCATCGTATATTGTTAAAAAATGAGTCTTTTATCGATTTAGGCAACTTTTAAATGACTGTAAAATTTTATCATAATAGTTTATTTTTCTTTTCACTTTATCGAATTACAATTAATATTTAAATCGGAGAATTTCTTCTTAAAATTTATTCGAATGTTTCGCTAACAAGGAGAAATCGTCCTCAGCTATGCAATAACGTTCGATCGCCGGTTGTTTTTTGGGCTCGAAGTTTCAACTGACAGGCAGTTCCCAATTTCCGGTTCCGAGGCGTTCTTTGAACGCTCGTAAAGCACTTAAGAAACTGCGAACACCGCCAAGGGCGACGATAAAGAGCACCGATAGGTGCTGGCTCCTCTCTCAGGTATCGATACTCGCATCTCAAATTCCGGGCTTCGAAGCACATCGAAACTCGAGAATCGAACGTTCCTTTTTTCCTCTTCCTCTCCTTTCCTTCTCGATCTTGTATTTTCTACGCTTTATTACGGGAAATTGGAGTAATTTCGTTCGAATTGGAAATAACAGCCTGGAGAAACGTTGCCGGAGTTTTGCCCGATACACTTCGATTCGTCGACAAATGTGTTCGATTTTCTAAAAACGATGAAATTTCACTAGAGAAAATTTCTTAAATTTATACTTTAACGATATACAAGTTCTAAAATAATTTTAGTTTAACAAAATTTTTCTCTTCATTTTCGTTTAAGACGAATTCTGGTCAACGTGAAAATCCGTGAAATCTAAATATTCAATCTCGTCGAATACGCAAATAGTAATTCAATTTCGCCACTTGCCGATCCGAGAGAGTTCGATCAATTTGCATCGATTTTGAGTCGTCGTCTTCGGTGGAAGTTCACAGGTTTGATAAGCGTGAAATCTGGTGACCGACGTTTAATCGAATCAAAAGAATACGAAACCGCTTTGGGAAAGAATGAGAGGATTTCTCTCGAGGTTCTCTCTGCAATACGGGCGATTATATTATTTTCAGAAACAAACAGAAGAGAAGCACGGCGAGTTTCATCTGTATTCCGCTTCTTAAGACTTAATCTGCTTAACTCTCGAATCTGGTTGAACGAGGATGCAAACTAACAATGAGTAAGAGAAAAGAAAAAGGACTAAATAAAGGCACAAAGAGATACTGTCCGTGGTAAAAAAATATACTTAGAAGATTTCATGAAACAAACTGCTTTCCAACTTACTAATTGGATTAATTCGATCGTTTAATAAATAAAACAATTTCTTCAAATTAACATAAACGAATGAAACGGTAATTTTAGACGAAATCCAGGATGTAGATTCAAGAATACGTTGATAAATGTCGAAATGTGGGTCGTTCGAACGACGAATTAATTCGTCTCGTCACGTCAATTAAACGAATTAATCGTGGTTCTATTCGACGCTCAAGTTTCATTGAATTCGACTGATTTTTATCGATCAACGAAGCGTGCAGGTAGGAAACGAGGTCGATCGTACCTTGATTTCGATGATTGCTCTTTTGAAAACGTAACGATCGAGATCGAATTTTTGGAGTGGAATCGAAACACCGTAGCCGCCGAATCCGCGCCACGTAATCGCTCGCTTCGGCGAAAAGGAGGGTACAATGGGAACGAGGAAATTTGAATTTATATTGGACCCGTGACGGTTCGTGGTTCTCGCCTCGCGGTACTTCATTCCGCGATATACATTAAATGCATATTCATGTCAGGATGGTTTGTTGGAAAAACATGATAGCTTGAAACGCGCGAGCTTTAAGGTTTAAGGGTCTTCTGGCAAGGAAAGAAACTTTCCCGTGAATGGAATTTTTTTGTGAAATTTATTAACATTTGCAACCGGCGGAGTAAGAAAAAACTTAAAATTTTTATATTTTTTAAGAAGACTTATTTAGTTGGTCTTGTGATGTGTTGATAGGAAAATAGGGAAAGCCATGTATCTTCGAATCTAAGAGTTTCAGGATCGAATCCCAGAAACTTCAAAAAATTTTTTTTTTTTTTTATTAGCAAGAAGATTTCTTTCCGTATCGAAAGGAAAAGTGAACTAATTTTCTTAATAATTTTCGAGTGAAAATTCAAATTTTCTCAAAATATTCGGAGTTCTTAAATTTTCCTCAAAATCTCCAGCCTTTCTCAGGAAACTATAACCAAAAATAGAATAACGAGAAGCGAAGAGAGTAAAAGAAATAGCTCCACGATAAAAACTATCGAGAAAAGGAAGAAAATAGAATTTCCCGAGATACGTTTCCCCAATTCCGCTGGAAATTCGCTAATTTTGAAGCAAGAGTCGTCGACAAGGCCGAGAGGAAACGGAATCTCGGTTCATTCGGTTACACCGAGATAGCCTCGAGTTAGAATTTCCACTGTGCCGACAAACAGGGCCAATATCAATTTCCTTGTTTTCACTGAAAATATTGAGACTTCTCGTTTCCATGTTATCCACTTTCACCGTAGCTTAATCCGTATAGAAAGTTGTCCTCTGTTTCTCACCCTCGTCGAACAATGATCGGCTCCAAGTGGATCATCAATCGCTGCGATGAATTTCTTAAGCCGACGATGCGCTCACCTCCGGCCGGATTTCCACCAAAGGGGAAACAATAGAGCGACGGCGAAATTTACATGGAAATCGACTCTGGTGCTGCTTAATTCCTCGCGAAAGCCTTTCGAAGCTTGCCTCTACCACGTTCATTTGTCTTCATTATTCTCTCATTATCACATTCTACTCCCGGCCACTTTTCACGCGCGCGATTTCGAATCTCTCGCGATATCGAGCACGATTTACTCTCCTATAAAAGCCGGAGAAATTGGGATATTAATTCGAATGGATTACCACAGCTCGGTATTAGAATGTAACATCGAGAAATTTCGGCAAAGTGGATGGTTATAAGGTGAGACTCCGTGCCAAGACGTTCTTTAAAACGGCTATCACTTTCAAACTTTACCAAATGAACATTATTTTCTAAGCGTTTAAGAAAGAAGAATCGAAACGAGAGAATAATTCTTACAAAGTTACCAGTTGTTTCTGTTAATCTAATTCCTTAAAAAAATAAAAATAAAACATTGTAATTCGTTTGATTCGTGTCACGTTCAGAAAGGATATAAACGAGTATCCCATTCCTTCGTAACATCCGGCTTAAACTGAATAGGAATTCCTGAAGAGAGTAAAAAAAGGCTGGCTTACGTGGGTGAATAGGATTAAAGGTGTCATAAATTGCAGCAAAGCGCGGGTATATCCTATTTCCCTGTGATTACTCGTGAACGTAGTAGCGTTTCTTTAAACACGGATAAATAAAACAGGGAAATTTCCCTGACTGAGATAAACAAGTGCGAGTATCATTATTTCAAATAACTCAGTTTACACAACATCAGCTGCACAAATACTACAATTTTCACGCTAGCCAAATAGCGAATCCGATGCGTTAAATATTCTTTTCTTCCTCTCTCGATAACAAGAGGACCATGCGCTATCTGGTAAAAAGGAAAAGAAAAGGCATCTGCCATTTTTTCCCAATTTCGTTCTCCTTCATCGAGGTTCGACGTTTCTGCCGATAATCGCGAATCGATCCGACCCCTCGTCGCCACGTTAGGAGCCAGCCCCCGAAGTCAAAGGGTGATTAGGAAGGACGAGGTCATCATTCGGTCGTCCTGTGTTCTCTGATTGGACGAATTCGAAGTCCCTCGGAGCAGACTGCGTCATAGGCGGCCAGTGATCGATACCCAACGATTATAACGCCCCGAGGACGTCGTACATATTAAACCCTCCAACTCCTCCGATGCTACCGTACATATTAAACTCTTCCTGTCCCCGCTTCCAACCCTCTCTGTCTTCCCTCTTCAATCTCCTTTCCGCCTGGAATCTCGCAATTCTTCTTTGTTTCCTGGATGCTCGTTGGTAAACGCAAGGATTCGCCAGATATGAAATTTTAAAGATGAAGGAATTTCAAAATTCATCCTTGCACCTACGAATATTTTCATTCTTAATTCGTGATAGTTTGAAATTTTCGATCTTACGACGCATTTATTCGATTTACGGGTAGGAAACATTTTCTAGCCGTCGCGAAATGATTACTTTAACGAGCTTGCAACCGGGGGAAGGACAATGTTTGCCGTCGAATATTGTTTAGCGTCGCGACGCGGTTGAAAATCAATCGAGTTTACGCAAACAGGCGAGGCGAACGGCTCGCGATAATGCAAAGCAAATAATTCGTCAGGTGCTTGCCAATCTTATTTCGATTCGTCGGTAATTCGGTGAGGATTGTTTTAGTAAAATTCAACAATTCTTTTTTATCAAATTTATTAAGAATTTTATTTCAATTATTTACAATATTAACACTTCGTTTTAATCGACAGATTTGTATATTTTTCTGTAATAAAAACGATTTAATCGTCGAAGGAAAGTTTGAAAAAGTCTTTAGCAACTGCGACACACTTGCCACGATACCGAATAATCAACACACCAGTTCGTTATTGCTTTCCGCACGAAACGTAGATCTTTATTTCACTCGGCTGACTGTTTTTTTATCGTCGCGTTAACGCGGATTTCACGTGACGATCGCTCGTTTAGATTCCCGTGCGAACCCATGCGACGACTTTCGCGCTCGACGATTCCTCAATTGCACCTCTTCATCTCTGTTTCCACGAGAATTTGCCCGGCAACAAAAAGATCATCCACGCATCGTACAGCTATTTCACGTGGTGTGCGGGTTAATTGTTCGATGCCGGTTTAAATGACGATCCCGCAAAGATTTATCGAGCCTCATTTGCACGCGTTTATTTATTCAGCGCGGTGTTTAGCGATATTGCGAAATTTTATTACCCGTTTTCGTGTTTCCTTTTAGAGGTTGGAAGCTCGCCATCAAACGAATTTACGTTGTTCCATGTATGTAAATTTTCTACCGTGCGAAAGTTATAGCTACTGGTTGTTTCACGTAATAAAATTCTCCGCTCGTTTCCGGATAATAATCCCTTTTATCTTTTTCATTTTCCAGAAATACGTCAGCGAGGGCTCGACGGTGCGTGACTGCGTCCCAACGTGCGTCGAAAAGGGTGAGTTCCTTTTTCCTATTATCAATTTTTTAAATTAGGCATTGACATTTAGGATGTGGTAAAATTCTTAATTCACACTAGAACTATCGACGTTTGATGAACACTAATTTTTAACCAGAAAATTAAATAAATATGAATCATAATTTAATATATATATCCATTCTTCATCTCGGCAATAACCAACATACATTCCAGTCTAAATACCTTGATATTTATAAATTAAAATAATAAACTTGAAACTGGTCATTTTAATTGGTTTGGTAGTTCTAGTGTTAATAAGATGATTAGTGATATTTGATGTATTACTATAATTTATCCTCAAATTGCTTTGATAATTTCGGGAAAGCAATTATTTTTCGAAGATGAAAAGCGTTCCAGATATGGAATAAATTGTCTTCTGTCTAGCGTTAATGAACGACAAACAATATTGAAAAGCATCAATGTGACAGGGATGATTTTAATCGGATTACAATAAGGTAATGCAAGCGAGAGGGAATAAATTGTCGATGAAAGGCACTCGTCTCACACGGTAGCAATTAATCTCTCGTTAAAAGTTGTTCTTTCAAACGGCTTTTCGCCAACGAAAATAACTCCCTCGGGGCTGTTGAACGCGACAGAACAATTTCATTCTGTATTATCGTACCGTATGTAATTGCGGACGGAATTTATCTTCCTAATATGACAACGTGTCCGTGTTTCGTGCCAGAGAGCCGCTTTAACTTGCTCATCCATTTTCCTTTAAACCAGTAATACGGCTTGTTATTTGTTTCAACAACCATTCACTGTCGTATATTTCACGCGTCAATGCTATAAATGAAACCGACTCGTAGCGAACATCTTTTCTTTACGCGTTTAATAAGGGAAGGTACAATAAACTCCTTGATTAAAGAAAAATGTTATTCTCTATTTAAAAAAGAACAGTGCTCTTCTTCGATTACAATGGACATTGAATTTTTTCATGGAAATATTTTCAATGAACTTCATTTTTAATGACTTATTCACTCTTAAGGCTTTTGATAAGAATTAGAATCTTCTTCAGCTTCTTTGAAAGCTTCTAGTAAGAATCCTATCGCAAGCATCGATGGAGATCGTTTCAATAGCTTATAAATTTCTCTTGGAGAAACCTCTTCACCAACTATTTCAAGCATCCCGGTGTCGAAGAGAAAAGAATCGGAACCGGTTGAAAAGTCCTTTGGGAAAGTAGGTCCGCGAACGGTTGGTCGGTAGCCGCTTCAAAGATGTCGATCCGCTTGTATCCGCTTTGAAATCCGAGTTGCACGCGCGAGCACGTCGATTCGCGTACGCGTGGTTTACCGCACGAACCGCGCTGGAATTGCTCCTCTCCGCGTGCAGCTGCATCGCCCTCAAATTGGAGCAGTTCCTCTCCAACAACGGAACGATCCGTGATTTTTCCCCCCATCAACCTCTGACCCTGTCTGCTGTATTCTGCGGATGAACTTTCATGGGAAATTTGTTACTTTACAGTGAGTCATACTACTTGTCTGACCACCGACCTTCTCTACTTCTCCGACCACTTAACACATTCTGCTTGTCTGCCCACCTGATATATTCTACTAGCCTGACCACCTAACATATTCTGCTTGTCTACCCTCCTGACATATTCTACTAGTCTGACCACCTAACATATTCCAGTGACTACAGGTGCAAAAGACTGGACATGTCTTTGTTTTCGAGGGGTCATGATTTATGGGGTCCCAGACACCCCAGATGAGATTAGGTCTGCACGCAATTTTCACTCCCTTTCATTATATTTTTTTATATAAATCATTGAAAAGCAGCACAGGACTGAACAATAATTATTATTGTTTGACAAACTTGTATTCATTTTATGCATCTTGGTAAATAAATCATTTTAAAAAAGCAATTCAGTTATTATTTAATTTACCTACTTTCATTTCTGAGTTATTTATTTAATGCCTGTAATTTCTTTTCTCAGTTATTTATTTATTTGACTTAAATTCTTTTATCATTTTAGTTATTTAATGTATTTTTATCTTCTTTTCTCAGTTATTTATATATACAACATTTAATAACTGTTTGATCTTTGATAAATTAAAATTATAATGCACATGAAAATCAAACTTAAATCAAAACACAGTAATTACTCCTTTGACCTAAAACGAGGTGTGACCTTCTCAGTCTTATAGCGATCGCCGAAGGATGCGGATCAGCCTATCAAACATCGCAGGGACCACCCTTCGCAGTTATTTATTATCCTATTCCTCTTTATGGACCAAAGCCTCCATTCGCGCTTATTTATTTTTTTCATTCGTTTCATGGACCTCGCTGGAACTACTCCTAAATCACTGTATTCTTAGATTCCTGCATTCGTTGTATTCTTAGATCTCTTATATTCCTGCACCTCTTATATTTTTGCATCTCTTATATTCCTGCATTCCATACACCCTTGCTTTCTTTATATCCTTGCATCCCTTTCATCTCCGCATCCCTTATACCCTTGCATTCCTTACATTCCTACTTTCTTTATATCCCTGCATCCTTTACATCTTTACGTCTCTTATATCTCTGTAACCCTTATATCCCTGCATTCCTACATTCCTTATACCCCCGCATTCCTTACATTCTTACTTTCTTTATATCCCTGCATCCTTTACATCTCTATTCTCTTATATCTCTGCAACCCTTATATCCCTGTATTCCTGCATTCCTTATACCCTCGCATTCCTTACATTCCTACAGCCCTTACATCCCTGTATCTCTTACATCCCTGTATTCCTTACATCTTTGCATCCCTTACAAACTTTGAACTAAAAGTTTTTCCAAAAAAGCGCCCTCTAGCGGGAAAAATGTGAACTAAAATTCCGACCTCGGATCAGCGCCATCTGGTTTCGGAAAAAGGAACTAAACCATGTACCATTTTTGGCCCTCTAGCGGGAAAAATGTGAACTAAAATCTCGACCTCGAGTCAGCGCCATCTGGTTTCGGAAAAAGGAACTAAATCATGCACCATTTTTGGCCCCCTGGCGGGAAAAATGTGAACTAAAATCTCGACCTCGAGTCAGCGCCATCTGGTTTTGGAAAAAGGAACTAAACCATGCACCATTTTTGGCCCTCTAGCGGGAAAAATGTGAACTAAAATCTCGACTTCGAGTCAGCGCCATCTGGTTTTGGAAAAAGGAACTAAAGCATGCAGCAATTTTGGCCCTCTAGCGGGAAAAATGTTAACTAAAATTTCGACCTCGGATCAGCGCCCCCTGGTGGCAGAAAAAGGAACTAAATTTGTAACAATTTCTTACTCAAAAAGAGCTTACATCGATACAGGAATATAAGGAATAAAGAGATATAAGGGATGCGGAGATGTAAAGGGTGCAAAGATGTAAGGGATGTAAGGATATAAAGAAAGCAAGGGTGTAAGGAATGCAGGGGTATAAGGGTTGCAGAGATATAAAAGATGTAGAGGTGTAAAGGATGCATGGATATAAAGAAAGTAAGAATGTAAGGAATGGAGGTGTATAAGGGATGCTGAGATGTAAAGGTGCAAAGATGTAAGGGATGCAAGTATATAAAGAAAGCAAGGGTGTAAGGAATGCCGGGGTCTAAGGGTTGCAGAGATATCTAAGAAGTAGAGGTGTAATGGATGCAGGGATGTAAAGAAACTAAGAATGTAAGGAATACAGAAATAAACAGAAAATAAAATAAAGGTACATGGACACTTAACAGGTAGGTCCGCTTCCTTTGGCGGTCGCTATAAGACTGACGGAGTTACCGTTTGGTCTAGGTTAAACCTTTGACAACTGCGGCGCAGCCAACTTTACTCGAATCAGTTTACAAATTATTTTATTTTTTTTCTTTAACGTGGATCAATCTTGCATAAGACCCCCCACTTATCCTGAATTTCCCCATTAAAATCGAACCTCCTGTTCTTCCTGTTCCTTCAGAATCTGCAAGACCTACTCGAAGAGCTTGTTGACTCGAAGATTTCCGCTAAATGAGGAGGCTTCTCGGAAAAGCAGCCGGAAAAACGTCAGCTGACTCGCGTAATGCGATTAAGGGGGTGAAACTTCGTAGCCAGGCTCTCGAACTGAAAATCCTGGTGAACTTTTGTAATCCTCTGGACGCGTAATGGAGCGTACGTGTCGCCAGTCAACGTGTTAAATTTTCTCTGTTATTCTTCTGTTTCCAATTTTATTCTACATTCTGGTGAATGTAGAATAAAATTGGAAACAGAAGAACCTCCTACCGGTTAATAAAACACCGACAAGTTAGAAGGAATTCACCCTTTACATCAAAACGAAACATTTCTAGACACTGATGCAACATTCATTAAACGAAATTTAATAAAAGAGACAGGAAGCGAATAATTTTCAGCAAGGTTTCGACTAACAATCAGAAATTCTTCTTCAACTCGTTTCTCAGCCAAGTTCATTTTCTACCCTCTGCGTTCCTTAAGCCTGGTTGCAACCGAAATTTCCTGCGCCACTTCCTCGTGTTTCGAGCAAATATAAACGAGGCTGGATTTTTCATCTTTAACGAGCCGAGGATCGATCTTTCCACGGTTATTGCGCCAACGATACGTTCTGCCCGAAGAACTCGGTTTAGGAAGCAATATTTCCCTTAAAACGGGGGTGAGTTTCTGGGAAATATGAGTCGGTTAAGGTGAAACCCTTTCTGGTTAAAATTTATTATTCTTCCAGATTTTCTCATTTTATAAATAAATAGAGACTTTCTTTTCGAAAAATACAGTATTCTTTATTATATAATTAAAATTTACAGAGTTTCACATAAAATAATGATTGATTTGCGTTCGTTACAGAGGCCTGGAGCACGAGGACGTACTGTTGCCAGCAAGATGGCTGCAATTCGGCACCTTCGTTCTCCAGCAGCTCCATCGTGATGCTGGCTGCGTCGATGGTACTGCTGGTGGTCGGACGAACCCTTCGTGGCTAATACGTCGCTAGAGGCGACGAGGAACCGCAAACGGAAGCACCGGGATCCATCTAACGCGAACAACAAGGTCGGAGGAACGTTGCATCGCGCGTTTACCATTGAATCTGGCCATTTTGTTGCTGACTGGATGCTGACCTGTCGATAGCTGTCGTTGATCAATCGCTAAAATTAATTTCCAATCACATTTATAGCACTCATTTTTTCCATGTTATTATTTGTAAAGAATCTCAATGGACGGGAGTTTTGATCATTAAAGATTAATATGAAATTTTAATTTTTCTTTTCATTTTGATTTTTTCCTTTTCCTTTTATTTTTTTATGGCGAACTTTAAAGGGAAATTTATTTAGAAATAATTCTTTCGATATTAATGATTTATTTATAACGCAATTGGAATAATAATGGCTTATTTGAAAATTGTCTTTCAACAAAGATTCAATTTTAACACCACTGAAATTCTTAATAATTCTTAATGTCAGTTTTGTGTCTATAGAATATTTTCTTACGTACCTTTTTGATATGGCTCATTACTCATGGGGAGAATAATTTTTCATGGGACCCTTACACAGCCGCAGATCCACATCTTTTCGCTGGAATTTCTTCTAGTCAGCTTTCTGTCCGTCGCGTCGCTGACACTCGCCACTTCAGCGCTCCTCGGATTCAATTTATTTGAGAACTTTCATTCTTTGACCCCATATTTGTCGCTTGCACACCTATTCGTTTCTCGTTGACCCTTCGTGTAACAGTGAATAAGTAGACGAGGCGTGAAAAAAATTTCTTATAAGTCCTTTCTTGCGGTTACCTTCCATATTTTACTTTCCTATTGAAAAGATATCAATTTGTTAAAAACCTTCGCTCAAGACTATTTTCCCACTTTTTCAATGTCCTCTATTCTTCAACCACCCAGATTTATTACATTCCTACGACAATTCTTATTTATTCTCCATATATTCGTCTTGGGAAACGCAAAAACTCGCCGTCCATTCGAATCGAACAATCAGAGAAAATAAAAAAAAAAAGAACCCGACCTCTGTCGACGGATATCGATCCCATGGAGCAAGATTGGTCAGAATCATGAACAAACAGAACAGAACACAATAAAACAAAATCGGACCACTCCCAAAAAAAAGCACAAGGAGAAACCATAAAAGAAACATTACAAAAGTTTCTCTTATTGCTTGAATCGTTCGTGGTCGTGTGTAACATCTCTCTGAATCTTACAATGTTTGTTCGCGAAATACAGAGAGAAATTTGCAAAAGAAAAATAAAAAATAAAATGAAGTAGGGTGATAAGAAAAAAAAATTAAGTATCGATGGAACCCGCGCAGATCTATTATGTAACCTACTACATACAGACAACAGTTAACGAGGAACAGTGAGGATAATAATGATAAACGTTATTATTATTACTATTACTATTATTATTATTATTACTATATTGCTACTAATTACTATTATTACCATTACTAAATTACCATTACTAATTGCGACACTACACTGGAAGCATCATCGATATACATACTATATATACAAGAAATTATAGTAGAGTAACGATGATAGAGCGATGATCGAGTGAAAAAAAAAAAAAAGTAACAAACGTTTGTCGATAATTATTACCGTATTGTAACCGCTTGAAGTAGCCTTAATAATTGTAATTAACGAACGCACGCGTGAGAATATGCGTCTTATTGGTTGGCGTGAGAGGATGACGCACTGTGCCCTGTTTCAATTTTCATCCCCCTTTCGTTCTTCTGAAAAATTCAGCCATTAGAAAGTTGATAGAAATTGTTCCTTTCTTTCAAGGTAGTCGAAAGTCAATTATCGCGACCGATCATTCGTACGAGTCAATTACCTGGAGATTCGCAAGTGTCAATTGTCCCAAGAGACAGAAAAATCTTCCTTTCTTCTGTCGAATCAATTTCTACGTCCTCTTGTTTCTTATGGGTACTTAGAAAGATAGATTCAATTATTAACCCCTTGACACAAAGTCAATTTGCAGTTGGCCATTTAATTTTATGCAACAATCTTTGACCTTATTTTTCTTTTTTAAATTAATTATTCAATATTATCAAGGTAAAAGGTTAAAATTGATCAAACTTCTCGTGACTATAATTCACTATCATCCCCTAAAATTACCTGTGGAATTTACTCAGCGACAGGGGATAATTCTTAATTAATCATTTATCCTGGAATTCTTCGAAGCTTGTTAATTAGATGATAGTTTGATTAACGAAACCATCGCATCGTTATCTTCTCAGGCTGACCAGCGTCTGAAATTCCTAAAACAGTAGCGAGAAAACAATTCATCCTAGCCGTTAAGCCAACAATGCGAATCACAACGTAGGACGAGATAATCTTAATCTATTCACGAGAGCAGAAAAATAAAAAAAAAAAAAAATCGAATGGTAGCGAGAAAGAATTCTAGAGAATTATATACCTGTTCTTCTGAGATTAGGCGACAGATGATTTTATCTAAAAGTTAGCTCGAGATTCTAGCGTAATAATAAAAAGAAAATGAAGAAAGAAATCTTAATCTGTTTCCCGTCTCTGGACGTCGACTAAATCGATCAACGTCTCGTTGTTATTGTTGAACGAATGATTTGAGATAGATCTATGGTGAGCCAGGTGGTTCGTTCGATTTTCGGTAAAGAATTCATGTTCGATTCGTCTGATGGGGTGGTCTTTAATTGCGAGACGCATGGTTAAGCAGAGGGTGCAATTAATTCGCGACGATTTTTCACTGTTGAACGAAGAAGAAGAGGAAAGGGAGTTTTGAAAATGATGGTGATCCGGTTCCTGAAATCAATCAGAGTTTTCTAGAATTATTTTGGGAAAATTTGAAGGGATGGGGGTGTTTTAGATGCGAATTTTCTATTTGGCATTACCTACAATGGGAATTTCATTATCTTAGAGTATCGAAAGTGCAAATTTTGTTATTTGGAAGTACCAGAAGTAGAAATTACATTATTTGGAGGTACCTGAATTATAAATTTTGTTTTAGGAAAATCTGACTTAGAAATATTTTTTAAGAGAAGGGAGAGAGAAAGAGAAGAGAGAAGAAAAAGCGACGGAGAGAGTAGGGGGAAAGAAGAGAAAGGGTGAGAGACAGAGAGGAGAAAAGAGAAGAGAAAAGAGGGAAAGAAGAGATGGGAGGAAATTTTTATCTTAGGTATTTCCAAATAATGAAATTTCCATTACTTGGAATTACCTAAGATGAAAATTTCATTGTTTAAAAATACCTAAAATGAAGATTTCAATTGTTATCGTCTAAAGGAAAAATTGTCCAACAATGGAAACTGGTCTCGTATCGATTCTTCCCATGGAAACTTCACCATGAGAAAAAATCATATTCTAATATCTATAGTACAATATTCGTGTAACTGTTCCTACGATAAACGTTCTACGATCTACTATACTTAAATCTTTACGTAACCACTTATCAATAATTCTAAATCAACTTTAACATGATACAACGACGCGAAATCACCCTCAACACTTCCACGGGAAATATAAAATCACTTTTAGAAAATAAGTCGTTCCAAAGCATCGATGTCAATCAAGCTAAAAATTTATCGTTCATACTATTAAAAGGAAAAAAACAAAAAAAAAAAAAACAGTCTAGCAATTAGAGACCTTTCTAAGAATATAATCAACATCCGAACAGTAAAAATCATAAAACGAGTCAGAAGTATCGAGGACCAGTTACGTTTACACTTTATCCATGTATTTTTATAACTCAAAGTGACAAATTTGGGAGAATTCAAATTGTCCCCAAGTCCTCGATAATCCTGTGTCGAATTGCAAGAATAATAAAAAATTGAAAAATAATAATGAGAGGAAATTGATTGAACCCTTTAATGACTCTATCTCGAATCATTTAACGTCGATACTATGTAATAAAGCAGAAACAAAACAAAAAAACAAATAAAAACCAAAGCGATATTGACGTTCTAACAGGACGCGCACGTCGAAGAAAATAGGAAAAACAATTTTGGACGACACATTAATAATATATTATACCACGATAATTCTAGGCGATTCCCTTAGCACGTAAGGGTTATTTACTATGTTCAAAACGATAATAAATCCGACAGAATCGTTCGAAGGCTCCCAAAACGCATGACAGTGAAAAAAAAAAGGAAGCTTCCAATTCGTGTTCGTCTCGACAAAGTGGACATGAGAGAAAAATAAAAATTTCAAGGAAGACAAATTGGATATTAGATACAGCGTAACATTTTACATTCGCTTCGAGCACTAATTTCGATATACATATAAATAATATATATATAGGTACATTAAAGAGGTTCGAAAACAAGTCTAAACGATAACGCCTATTTTTTCTTCCTGCACTGATCTCGACAAACAATTGTGTGTAAAATGAGTGAATGGATTTAAAAGATAATTAAAACGAAAGCTTTCTATTGCATGTGCCTGCTGCTTCTTCGCTTTCTACCATTCTTGTTAATCCTTGTGTTAATAAATGAAAATTTTCAAGAATAATTATCATTGTTCATCTCCTCGAGACAGGAAATTAAAAAAAGGGAACTATTCTAATTCTGTAATGTCTGAGAAAAAGGGGGTATATGGGTACCCAGTTATTAACACTAGGGTTAAATGAAATTTCCTTCAACCCTTTCGTTGGTAAATTTCCAAAAACAGATAAAAGAAATTCCATTTGTTCCCTGTGAATGATGAATGATTTTTCCGGAGGATATTACTTCTCTCTATTTATTTTCGTTAGTTGTCACGTTTCATTGTCAATTACTGGGATGTTCGATTAAACTGTTTATCACGTATCTTTGTTTGCGAGGGTCGTATTGAATTCTGTGGACAATATATTGTTTAAATCTCATCCGCCATGGACTGGAATATTTATTAATTTCCCTTTGAAACATACGGATGCGATTTCGTTCTGAATAAAATCTAGTACATATCAATGAATACAGGTAGTGATCGAAGTAGAATTCGTTCATCGATTTAACCCTTTATGCATCCAGTTATATCTTGGCAATATGTGGTTAAATATATAATTTCTTATTAAATAAATTATTTGCAAATATGAAGAACTTCAAATTTAATTCAGCACTATCATCATTGAAATTCAATCAAATCATAAATTTAAAAAAAAATTAATCAAGGTAATTAATTATGAACAAATTTATTTGAATCCTTCCTACTTGAAAATTTATATGAAAAGCATCGAGTTAAAAGGATTAATAATATTAGAAATTATTTTTTGCAACGAAAGGGTTGAAAGGAATTCACGTCCACGATCAATGATCCAGAATCGACGGGCAAAATCGTTCAGCCGTGTTTTTTCTAGACTTAAAATTAGTTCTCCTACTCTTTTCACAAACTCGTGACCCTTGACACTCGTTAGAGCGAGCCCGAGTGCGAGAGAAAATTCTGTTGAATGAACGAAAGCATCCAGTAAGAATGACGGGGGTGTTGGAACGTCGATGAAAAGAGGAAAATCGGATGAAACGTTCGAACAGGCGTGCTTCCAAGAGGAAAATAGAGAAATAAAAGGTGAACTTCGACACCGTCGAGCTGTCGTCGTGTAGAACCATTTGAATCTTCCATCTTGACCGATGAGTGCTAGGTTTATTTATTTTTTAGTTTTGGAAATCAATTTCAAGTAAAAAAGAAGGAGGAATTTAATGACTTAACTGAAAGGTAAAAGGTGTTTCTCTCCAGGTGTGAAGAAAATAAAAAAGGAAATGGGAAACTATGTAGAGTGAAAAAGGAAGCAAGATTATTAAATATAAAACAGTGGAGATCTAGTATTCCTCAATTTCTAATATTTTTAAAAATCTATTACTCCACAATTTTTAATATTCCCAAAAATTTAGCATTTTCTAATTCCTAATATTCCAAGAAATCTTATACCCCCAGAAATATAATATTTCTAAAGGTCCAGTACTTTATAATTTCTAATAACTCTAAAAATTTAATATTTCCTAATTTAAACTATCCCCAAAAATCAATTATTTGCAAGTGAGTTCGATGCAAGATCGACGGTGACGAAGATTTTCAAGAGACCTTCAAATAAGACATAAGGGTTGAAAGGGGGTGAATGAAAGAGATGATGTATAGCTGAAGAATCACAAGAGAGATATATACAAATATAATTATAAATAAATTGTATCACGCCAGGATCGCACTGAAAAGCAAGAAAACAATTTAACAAAAAAAATAATTGAGACACACCGATAATTAAAAAAACAAATCTAGGTTTAATAATTAAAATCAACATTTATTAAGCTGAGAGGACCGAGCGACAAAAAAAAAATATATATATATATTAACGATTATATATTATATATACATATATATTATATTATATTAAATTATATTACGATATATTATATTATACTATATTATATTGTATTAATTAGTCACGTAAGCAGAATCATATATGTATGACGAGTTGTACATTTATATTAGAACACACACAGACGCAATAATAAAGACCGTAAATACGAACTCTTAATATCGTGACAAGTTATAAAATGTGTATTTATCAAGAATGTCAAAAATTCACGTGTCATACGAAGAATACGGAATCACTGGCGTTTATTTAGAAAGGTGAACAAGTTTGTTTATAATTAATTTAATCGGGGTCGATGAAGAACGAATTAAAAGTCGAGGCGAGATTTCTGGGGGTGGAACGAGACGGACGTGTTTGAAATTTTGACAGCAGACTAAACCGTGTCTTGAATAAATGAAAAACCCATGATTTTATATATCTTTTTATGGCAAAGAATTTTTCTTTGAAACGACAGATTACCAAACGTAAATTCTTCTCTTTTATTTCTTTCTTATCGCAGGAAAATTGATGTGACTCATTACTTTTTTTTTCATGAAAATGAAATGAAACGGGGTCGCTTCTGAAAGAAATATTTTCTTTACTTTTCCACTTCATGAATATTTATTATTCACCCTCGATAATAAGCGTTAAAAACTGCTTATCTTGCAACTTTGTAAAGAATAAAGTAGAATCAACTTTAACTGTTCAGACACTCGAAAAGAAAAATTTACTATTAATCATTATTAAAATAAT